GACTAGCCACATTTCAATTTCCCTATAGCCACATGTGGCTAGTGTCTCCCATATTGGATAGCCTGACTGCAGAGCATCTAACTCAGTTAAATATTATGTATTCATTGGTGGGCATTTTTGTCTGGCTGTCTCCCTCATTAACTCCAAGCTCCAGGAGGACAAAGAATGTGTCCGTTTTGCTCATATACAGTAGCTTGCTGAAGGCTGGCACAAACCAGGTGCTCAATAAACACTTTTTAATAAATGAATGAATGAATGAAGAGTGTCTCTATTAATATCTTTTTGTCCTGACTTTGTTCAGACTCATTTGTAGTTAATTTCTAGGAATAATTTGCAATGCTTTGTTCCTTGACCTGCTTTCCAGGCCTGCTTCTTAGCTCCTGGGAAAGCAGAGAAATAAATGTTACCCAGGCAGATCCTAGAGCTGTGTCTGTGAAGAGATGGAAATAGCAAGTAAATGCTATTGTAAGGGAGGAGAAATATCTTTCTTCTACCCAACTTAGGTTTTTGGCTGGGTCTTTATAACAAAAGACAGATTTACAAGAGAAAAGCATCCAAATTTATTTAAGGTAAGTTCTATGTGACATGGGAGCCTTCATAAGGAAATGAAGACCAGAGGAAGTGCTTCAAACTGAGTATTTTTACACTTGTTTGATGAAGTGTGGGAAGTCATGGAAAATGTGTTAGGACAAAAGGGGTATGAGCTAAGAGGAGGAAACTTGAGGAAACTTAGCAAGGCCTGTTCGTCCTGATTTCTCTTGAAGCCTCTTGGGGTCCTTGCAGATAAGGATGTTCCTTTCCTCTGGAAATAGGGAAGACATTTTTTACATGAGAGTCTCATGACCTGCTTTAAGGGAAGCCCAAAGAATCCTTCCTGCACATGCTGATTCTCAAATTCTTTCAGTTTAAAAGAGTCAATATGTCCAGGTGCCATATTTTTGGTTGATGTATCCTGAACCCTGTAACTATCACAGCAATACACAGCACCTGGGTTCACTGGAGGATAAATATTCTCTCTATAACACCAGTAAAATTTGAGAATAGAATCTTAGTTTCTTTAGGATTATTTTCTTTAATTTTTTTTTAAATGTTTTTATTTATTTTTGAGACAGAGAGAGACAGAGCATGAGCAGGGGAGGGGCAGAGAGAGAGGGAGACACAGAATCTGAAGCAGTCTCCAGGCTCTGAGCTGTCAGCACAGATCCTGACGTGGGGCTCGAACTCACGGACTGTGAGATCATGACCTGAGGGGAAGTCGGATGCTTAACTGACTGAGCCACCCAGGCGCCCCACTTTAAATTTTTTTTAATGTTTATTTATTCTGAGAGAAAGAGAGCATGAGCGGGGTAGGTCCAGAGACAGAAGGAAAGAGAGAATCCCAAGCACCTGTCAGTGCAGGGCCGATGTGGGGTTCCCGTGAGATCATGGCGTGAGCTGAAATCAAGGGTCAGACACTTAACCAACTGAGGCACCCAGGCACCCCTAGAATTATTTTCAGTGTAAATCAAGGAAGAGTAAGGGTTAACTATTAGTCATCAGCATTCCAAGGTGGAAAATGTATATGCAGAGACCAAGAACCTGTCTCATAGGAGGCCCTATGTGGGAGTGGAGGTAGGGTGGGGCATTTAGTTCCTTTAGGAGTTTCCCATGAGGCAAGTCAGGCCCCCCCACCCTGGATTTTGTGACAGGACTACTAGTTGGCCACATGGAGCCTTTGAATGAATTAGAGAAAGGTGCTCTCTGTGGGGAGAGTGGGTGGAGCATGAGCTGGTTTTTAGCATAGTCTCACTTCCTTGTGCGGTGCACAACCTGTTCAGCCATAAGCACTGGTCCTGCAAAGTCTCTCTAGAGCAGTCACTTTGTCTGAGGTGAACTTCCATTAACTAAGTACACCAGGTTGATAGATAAAAACAAAAGGCTCACTGATTACCTTTCTTTGAGAAGTCACGGTCACAGGGATTGAGATACCTATGTTATTATGAGTAGTGAGTACATTCAAAGCTAGTTCCATGAATTAACGAGTTCAACTCTCACAATAACCCTATTATACTATCATTAACTCCACTTTTAACATATGAGGAGTCTGAGGCTCACAGATAAATGTCAGAGCTGGGATTTGAACCCAACTGTCTAGTTTCCTTAGGCGAGGCAATGAGAGGTCACACTTCTCTTGTTGCTGACTTGGGACCCGTAAAGGTCATTATTGCTCCTTCACCTTGTTTCTGACTTGTGTTTGAACAGCCACATATCAGAATGGGCACAGTCTTTTCTTGGATGTGCTGATACAGTTCAGGTGCCTGGGTGGCTCAGTCGGTTGAACGTAGACTCTTGGTTTCAGCTCAGGTCATGATCCCAGGATCGTGGGATCGAATCTAGTGTCAGGCTATGCACTGAGTGTGGAGCCTGCTTAAGATTCTCTCTGTCTCTCTCTTTCCCTCTGCCCCTCTCCCCCACTTGCTTTCTCTCTCTCAAATAAATAAAATGGAAAAAAAAAAAAAAAGATGTGATAATACAGCCGCACATCAGGGGTTCAAAGCCTGGGATCCACTCTGTGTCCCTCAGATGACTTTGTGAATCTTTGCTCTGGACTGCTGGCTTAAGACTTCAGGGCTTTCTCTGGAGGGCAATTGCTTCACCCTCATTTCCTAGTTATTTCAGGACATCTCCCCAGAGTACCCAAGTTCTGACAACAAACACCCACTCAGATAACCAGAAAACATACTCTAGTCTGAAAATTTCAGTGGATGGCTTGTCTAGTACTGTTCTCTTTATACAATAAACTTTTGAAATGTTGCAAGCAAAAAAAAAATTCTGGAATGTGTAGAAATTTCGATGCTTTCAGGAAGCTGGCTGTTAGAGGAACCCTCATGTGAAGGCTTTTGTTAAGTGGAGGACCAGATTTGTAAATCAAACAATTACCCCCTAGCCAGATAAAAACAACAGCTTCCATCTCCTGGCATTGATGACAGACTAGAAACCGTGCAAAAGCTTCACCTCCATCATTATAATCATTTCTCTCTCTCTTCGTAACAGCTTTATTGTGACATAATTCACACACTGTACCATTTACCGTTTTAAAGTAGACAATTTGGTACTTTGAGTATATTCACAAGGGTGTGCAGCTGTCCACTACCTTATTCCATAACATTTCCATGATCCGAAAAAAGAACCCCCTTGCCAGTGAGCCCTCACTCCTTGTTCCCTCTCCCCCCTCCCCCCGCCCCCCCCCCCCAGCTCCTGGGTAGCCACTAACCTACTTTCTGTCTCTATAAGATTTGTCTATTCTGAACACTTCAGATAAGCAGACCTGCACAATATGTGGTCTTTTGTGCCCAGATCCTTTCACTTAGCATGTTACTAAGGTCGACCCGTATTGCAGCATGTATCAGTACTTTACTCCTTTTTATGATCAAATAATATTCCATCGATGGGTAAGCCACATTTTGTTTACCTACTCGTCACTTGATAGGCATTTGGGTTATTTCCACTTTTTGGCTACCACCATCTCTTAATCCTCTTGCCACCCTTAGAAGCATGTATTGTCCTCTGTTGATTCAATGAATTACATTTTCCTAGAACACTGAAAATGACAAATCTTTCCAGGAAATCAATGACTGGACTTAAAGTCCCAGAGACCAGTCAAATGCTGGTTCTTAGATGTTCTGGATTTTAGCTTTCTTTCCAACCCTGTCTCTAACGTTAATCCAGTGAACAATGTCCCGAACCATGAATCCAGCTCCTCCTAGAGTGCAGAGATGCTTCTATCAAAAAGTTCTGGCGTTATTTTATGTTCCCAGTGCTTGGTGGCTCCAGGAGACCATCTGGTCCTTCCCACAGCCCAAGAGATTCCTGCAGAGCACAGTGGATCAGATGTTCCACTTTGCAGGCCTGGTTGGATTCAAATATCCCATCTGATCCCATCTGACAGTTAATAGGGGAGTGACTTTGGGCAAGTTACTTAACCTCCCTGAGCTTCAGTCTGGTTATAGAAAGGGGTTAATAACATTACTTTAGAGTTGCTGTCAGAACCAGTCAAGTGTTAGGGCAATACCCTTCATGTTGTAAACTCAACTACTGGCTTCCTAACTACCAATTGGTGGTGGGAGGTATCTCTGTGCCAAGTTGCTCCCACCAAATCCAGACATGCTGGTTCTTTTCCACTAATCAACCCTAACTCCTCTTCCCACCCCCACCCCACCCACCAATTCTTTCCTGGTTAACTTCTCACTCTTCTGATATCATTCTAATTTTTTTTTAACGTTTATTTATTATTGAGAAACAGAGACAGAGCATGAGCATGGGAGGGGCGGGGGAAGACACAGAATCTGAAGCAGGCTCCAGGCTCTGAGCTGTTAGCACAAAGCTGGAGGTGGGTCTTGAACTCACAAACCGTGAGACCATGACCTGAGCCAAAGTCGGACTTAGCCAACTGAGCCAGCAAGGCGCCCCTCTGATCTCATTTTAAACGCCACTTCCTTGGAAAGCCCTCATGCCCGTCTTCTTAGAGCACTCTGCATTTTCTTTCCATTACTGTATCAGTTTGCCGTTTCCTATTTATTTTAATGTTTTTGTTGTTGTTGTTGTTGTTCATCAACTGTGCACTCCACCAGGGACTCTGTCTGGCTCTCTAGTTCCTCAGTATGTACAGTGGTCTAGGATCATGGCAGGCATTCATCAAATATTTATGGCAAATAGTCCACCTCGTTCTTTGAACTGAGGTTCAGACAGGAGGAAAGCATCCTCCTCCAAATCACAGAGCGTAAGTGGCATATCTGTCCCCATGTGTCCCTATTCCCAATCCACACTCTATCCCCTGAGCCTGGTAAGAATTTTTCTAACGTGCCCCCTAATATATTTGAGTGCCAAAGAAAATTCCAGAAAGGGGAGAGTAAAGAAGAGTGCAAAATAAGGGAACCTCTTTGTGTTTGGCTTGGCTCTTCCTCTCCCGACCTTAAGGCGCGTATATTGTAAAGCGAGGGATTATAGCAAAAACGACATACCGGGGCAGCTACCACAACCGAACTAGCGAAGGAACAGCCACGCAAGGAGCGGGGACGCTGAGAGGAGGAAGGGGGTGAAGACAGAAGACAGATCCTGCGCAGGCGCAGCCGAGACATTCCGCTCTTCCCCCCCCCCCCCGCCCCTCCCTTCCCGGTCCAGTCACCAGACGCCTTGTGCAGTCAGCTGACGCGGCGCTGCGGTAGTCACGTGGCGGCGGGCGGGGCGCCGCCTCACAGCGCAGGCGCAGATACTAGACTCCTGGGTCAGCTGACCCGAGGGGGCGATCTCGCCGATCTAGGCCGCTTACCTCGGCCTCAGAGTCGCCACCGCCATGGCCAGTCAGTCGCAGGGCATCCAGCAGCTGCTGCAGGCCGAGAAGCGGGCCGCCGAGAAGGTGTCGGAGGCCCGCAAGCGTGAGTTTCGGGGTGGGGCGGCCAGGCGTGGTGCCAGTGCACGAAACGCCGCCAGGCCGCAGGAGGTCGTAGGTAGATAAGGCCCGAAAAACTGCGGCGTGGAGGGGTGGTGACAATCGCGGGATCTTGTGTGGCTCGAAACTGTCTGGATCTGAGGCTCTGGAAGGCTTGAGTGTCGACTGGAAGCCGCGATGTGGGGTAGTAGACAGGGCGTGGAGACAATAGTAGGTGGTTGACCTTGGGGTCTTGGGAGGCTTGTGAAATGGGCTATTCAAACCGAACTCGTCTTTCTCCCTGTCACTTGCTCCTTTGGGTTGTTTTGTGTCCGTGTACAGAGCTACCGTAATCCATGCTGTTGAACATAGAGTCCTCTTTGCCACGTCTGCTTCTCTTGTTCGTCACGTTTAGACAGTAGCCAAGGTGTATACGCCTGTTTAACTTTTCCCCCATCCCCACAGCTAGCATCTTAGTCCGGGACACTAGGTTTTCTGAGGCTCTGGTACCAGCGTGCTTCGTTAATTCCTTAAAAAAAAATTTTTTTTAAATGTGATTAATATGTGCCAGACGCATTACCCGGTGTACCGGTGACCGGTGTCTCCATCATCATGGTATTCAAAAGCCCCAGTGGAGGAAGCCAATGCTGGGTGGGTTAGTTGCAGGTGAGATGGGGGCTAGAGTTAGAAGTGTAAGGTTGCTAAGGAACTTAACGGGTGGATCCAACCTCCTCCAAGTGCATTCTCCTTCCATCAGAGTCCTCCCTGAGGTGCAGATAGGACTTCCCCACTTCCTTTACAGTCAGTTTAGCGCCTGCAGAATAAAGACCAGGTTCCTTTTTTTTTTTCTTTTCTTTTTCTTTTTCTGAGCAAAACAGTAGGGTTTGTTGAGCAAAAGTACAAAGGTCTCAAGAGTGAGAGGGCTGGGTTGCCCAGACCAGATTCCTTAATAGGGTGTAGGCAGTGTTCTTGGATCGGGCTCTAGCTTTCTTCCCTCATCTCATTTTTGGGTTCTCTCCTCCAGCCATCCTGAGCCACTGTGATGCCTTATTTCACCTGCAAGCCTCGGTACAGCTGTTTTCTCCAGTTGAAAGTGCCTTTTCCTGGTTTCCTCTCTCTTTAACACTTAGTCTTTCTTCAGATCTCAAAATTTAGGCAGCATTTCTTCCAGGAAGCCTTCCCTGCTTTGTCCTTCTCTCAAACCAGGCTGAGTCCTTCCTAAGACCTTATTTCTGTCATCGCGATGCGAATACAGGTTTCTTAATAGGGCTTAGTCACTAGACTAAGCTCCTGGAGTACATGGACTGTGTGTAACTTAATCGTATGTATTCATTTTCCCATCTGGTGAGAAAGGTATCCTTATCCCTGTTATACAGATGGGTGATAGGAGGCTTATTGAAATGATTTGACCATACCGTGAGAAAAAGCATAGCGGGAGCCTAGAGGCCTCTTTTCCCATGCAAGGAGTATGACCCTTAGTAATTCTTTGGTGTTTCTCTTGTTATAAGACTTACACTTTTATCCCATACCCAAGTAGATTTCAAGCACGGCTCTTATATTTTCTGGCTTAGAGTATTTCCTATGAAATACTCTATTTCATAGGAAAAGCTTTCTTTGAGGGAGCTGAGGATGATGGGAACAAGCCTTTTATTCTTGCCCTGGTGACTGGAAAGTTTTGTGTTCTTCATAGAATATTTCTCATCATGGTCTTGGTGATAAAGTATTTCCAGAATGACTTCTCAGAGTTTGTCCTGTGGTGGCTTATTAGTAACAGAAGTTACTGTTGGGAAGTATGTGAGATTATTTGGGGGAGGTGCAGGAACAAATACTTGTAAAACGGTCAGAATAATTCTGAATGTCTTGGATGTAGGGGTCATGTTATACATTTTTCTTTATCTCATCAAGCTTAGTGCAGGGTCTTGTATAGGTCATATAGCTATTACATATTTACTGAATGAGTTTGTTTTAAAGGAGTGAGTTAATGGCTAATATACATCTCAGAATTTGCAGTAATTAGAAACAGAAGTATTGAGGGGTGCCTGGGTGGCTCAGTTGGTTAAGCTTCCGACTTCAGCTCAGGTCACGATCTCGCGGTCCGTGAGTTCGAGCCCCACGTCGGGCTCTGGGCTGATGGCTCAGAGCCTGGAGCCTGCTTCCGATTCTGTGTCTCCCTCTCTCTCTGCCCCTCCCCTGTTCATGCTCTGTCTCAAAAATAAACGTTAAAAAAAATTTTTTTTTTTAAAAAAAGAAACAGAAGTATTGACAAGAGCTACAATTTGAAAAAAATCACTGCCTTTTTTGATTTGTAATTATGGTTATCTTGCCCATTTAGGAATTGGGAAGAGGCAGTACCTATGTGGCAAAGGGATCCTACTTAAACTTTTCTTGAAATTGTTGCTTTGGACCATAAAACTTAAAAAAAAAATTGTGTTTGGTTTATTTTATTGACGTAGCTGTTTCAGTGATGTTTATTTCATTGTGGGAGCCAATAAAACACTGGCTCCCACAGAAATATGGGTGTAAAAGAAATATGATTTCCTGTTCAAGTATTTATTTTTGGTTTTCAGACAAGGCTATCAGCATTGAACTTTGAAGATATCTGATGGGCAGGGAATGGTTTATCTTAATTCAGAGAACTTTGGGAGTTAGCAGTGACCAGGAGAGTGGTATTGTGAAATTACGTGGACCTAGCATAATGTTTGAGTCATAAGTGTTATTTGTAGATTGTTGGTTTAGAAAAGACCTTCAGCTCTGACGTATGGGTTTGGAGATGGGTGATAAGGAGGATGGCATGTGGAGGACGGGGGTAGAAGTTAGCTCACAGGGACAGCAGTAGGCCCTAAATAATACTGGAGAAAACATACACTTACAGAAATAGGTTTGGGGTTTTTAGAGAGGTCTGTTGATTGTTTCACCAGAAACATGATGGAGTGTTGATGTGGGGTCATTATACATCGAAAATCCTGTTCTTCATCAGGAGATGGGAGGTTAAATTCACTTTCATTTGTCTACATGGGTTGAGTGGGATTTGGGAAATTGATGTACAAGAATGTCTAATAAAGCTTACTTTTAGGTGCAGGATGTCTTTTGCTCTGGATTAAATAAATGCTCAGGTTGATCATATAGCCTTAATTTGGGTTTCTGAGAAGTTTGATCAGTGAGCAGAGGATCAAAGCAGAGAATATATGCTGGCTGGTCTTGTGGTCTGTTTTCAGACAGGGTCTGATGGAATTTAAAGAATCTTTTCAGCTGTATGTTTATTCTCTAGAAACCAGAGCCCCTGTGTCTCCTCACTTCTTAGATGCTTGTGCAGTCTTACCGTCCAGTGCTCCCCATTTCAGGATACCTTCCCAGAACCACTTTGTTAGTTATTTCCTTGTGCACAGGCATGGTTTTAGTTTCCAATATTACATCATCTGTCTCATTAGTTACATTTTAGGTTACTGTCTCTTGGGAGCATATTCCTCTCCTCACTCAGCTTCTAAGCAGACCTCTAGTTACAATCAACAGCATACTTAGGTGTTTACTTCTTAGGAAGAGCAAGCATTCCCCAGATGGGTAATGTCACCCATTTTATGTTGGTTCTTAACAGTGGAGATTGAGAGAATATTCTGACACATTGCAGAATTGTTTCCATCATTTTTCTGTTTGCAGTTATGGAAGACGGTCCTTTTTATCTAGTCACTTCCTAGCTAAGTACAGCTTGCAGGAGGCAGGAACCTATACTGCTAGTTAGCTTTGAATTCCCCCGTGCATGTCTCTTGGGACTATAGCATAAAACTTTTTTCCTTGTTACCTGTTAGAATTTACTATCTCAGTCTCTGCTTCCTCTTCTACTTGTCTTTTAACCACTTCTTGATGCAGCTTTTTCCTTTGAAAACAGGAAAGAACCGGAGGCTGAAGCAGGCCAAAGAAGAAGCTCAGGCTGAAATTGAACAGTACCGCCTGCAAAGGGAGAAGGAGTTCAAGGCCAAGGAAGCTGCGGTGGGCCTGGTTTATTTTCATTACTGCTTTAGTTTCCTGAGGCTTTCTTCTTCTTCCCTTTTCCCCAGGCTCTCAAAATATCTAGCATAGCTTGGAGATTGTGATTTCTGGCAGAAATTTGAAGGTTTGTCTTTTGGATGCTCAGGCTGAGTCTCCTCGGTGATCAGTTTTTAACTAACATCGAACCCTGGTTTTCACTTAGTCATTTCACAAATATCTGTTAAACATGTTAGCTTGTGCCAGATGCTAGGGGGTCAGCTGTGAGCAGAAGTCGACATGGTCCCTGCCTCGTGGCAGTCTGATGGTCAGGGAGACTCGGCAATGAAATGCAAGTCTGGCGGAGTTCCAGCTGTGAGAGAGCCACGGTGGTCGTAAGCATCCATCAGACGGAGCCCCACCTCAGTGTCGTAGAGACACTTAGCGACAGTACAGGCCGGGCCAGGGAGCGTGAGATGCATGAAGTACTAGTACAGCAACAGATCCCAGAGAGGGGAAGGGATGAAGGAGGGCTTTAGGGAGAAAAGAAACTGTCAGGTAACAGAAAGCAATTCAGGCAGATTTTGAGGAAAATGGAATTTATTGGCTTGTATAACGAAAAACCCAGGCAAAAGGCTAACTTTATTTTGATCAGGAGCTTAAATGATGCTCTCAGGACTTCATCTCCATCTGTCAACTCTGCCTTGTCTTTGTGGGCTCCATTCTCAAGTTCTGCCCTGTGGCCTGCATTGGG